AAAGATTTCAAGCATATTAATTAATTTTTTTTTAAATGAATTATTTATGTATGTAATTTTTATAATTAGAGATGTTCTGAGTACCCGACGTAATACCTACATTTTTACCCAGTCCTTACATGGTAAATACTAAATTTTTAACTCATATCCGGTAACTGGAAAACGCTGATAATCTATACATAAATATAATATGCATACCTAGTTCTGTTCGATTGTCATAATTTATAATTGATTGTCTAGGGTACAAAAGAATCTACAAAATCGATTAATCGAAAATTTTCTTCTATAGAAGAGCAAGAGCGCTCGATTGTTAGAACAGTTAAGGACTTATTGATTAATCGATAAATATAATAGACTGAAGTAGGTGAATTGCTGTATCATGATTCCTGCCAAGTTTATAGGCTAAGATGGTTAAGTTAATTTTTTTTTATTAATTTCTGAGCGGAGCATCGAATGTATTGATTTTACAATGACATGTGTCTTGTTTTTGTGTCTGTGTACACATTAAGTTGTCAAAGTAATGCTTCGATGTTCAACTTTAGTAGCTTTTCTGGTCGGAAAGAGTATTTATGGGAGGTAAAATTCTTGGTAATTTTCAAAAGCGCTGAGAAAAACAGATAAAAATTTAATAAACACTGGAATTTTTAAGCAAATCAGTTTTTGAGAAAAACAATTTTAAATATTGGTATTACTCTAAAAAAAAATTGTTGTGTTCGAATTACAATTAATCGAACTATAATCGATTAATCGAAACAATTGAACAGCCCTATGCATACCTATGATTAATATAACTGGAAAATCTAAAATTCTAGGGTAATAAATTATAATTTATTTTGATAAATATTGAAATAACCAATTTACAATAGCCAGTTTATTGTATTTTCACATTAGTGTTTGGCTACGTTTATGCTCAGATTCACCTTTTATTAGTTTTATTTTTGTTATTAATTTATTATGATTGCAGAACTACCCAATAGTGAGTGTTTAAAGATTTAATTAATATTATTAATAATTTCTCAATCAGGAATTGGTAGTTGATAGTGCCTTGCTGTAGTATAGTACCCATTTTGTATTAAAAATTTTACTCAACCAGTACTCGGTACCCGGTTCAAACAAATTTTCTACCTGAACATCTTTATTTATAATTTAATATAAATCAACAACAAGCAAATTGTCACTACTATACCGAGTATTAATTGTGAATTTAATATGAGAGGTATGGTTTTTTTTTCAATAAGAAAATATGGTGTACCTACTCTTGATTATCAGCGGAATAGGGTGGCTGGACATCCACGGATCAACGGATTCCGTGGATAATCAAGCATATTGTATTTAATGTTGTTATCGAGTAATCGGCTATCACAAATTATCGCCAAATTAAACTGATAATGATTTATAATATAAATATATGTATGTTTTTTTTTTTATATACATATAGATATGTAGGTGATTCTGCGAAAGACGGTAGATAATCCGCAACGCGGATAGTCCACTCACAAATAATTGAGAGTACACTGTATGTATTTTTACCATGAGACCATGACCTGGAGGAAGTACGAATACAATTTGGTATTGCTGGTAAAATTTTAGGTAATGTAAAATAAATATGTAAAAAAAAGCACCATCACATTTAAAATTTTCAAAAATTACACATTAAGAACCAATTATAACCAGTTGAAGTACCTGAATACATGTCGTACTTTATCATTGTAAATACTCTGAACAAATTTGTAATATTGTAAATATTTTGAATTCAAAAAATATTTTAAGTATTAAAGTTTCAAAAAAAAACTTTTCTAGTTTAGTAACATATTATTACGTGTTATAAAACAAATCTTGCATATTATTTGCACTTTTTTTTAAGTGTAACATATACAGATATTTTATTGTTTTTTAGAGCATACAATTCCAAGCCCTGTTAATAACCAATAAGTGGATGCCTAAATTTGTTGATAATATCTAAATACTAATCAAAATCAAACACACAAATAAAATACATACCGATGCCAAACTTTCCAAATAAGACCGTTTTTGATCAACCATTGATAACTTCAAACATACATTTCAATTAGATAATAATCAGATACATTATTAAATAATATTTTTAAAACTCACCTCATAGAAAGCCAGCATTATCAAAGTTTTAACTTCTTTACTACGTTCTGAATTATACTTAATAAACATCAAATCAATAAACCTTAAAGAATATAATTAAGTTAGTGAACCATATTTTGATATTTTCAAAACAAACTATATTTGTTATACCTTTTACAATCATATTGTAAAGCATGTCCAAATTTTCCCAAACATTTAGCAACAGTGCACTTGCCATTATATGAAATTGTAGTTGAATGAAAACATACATAAAGGTGTTCAACTATGTTATCAATAGAGCGTCTAATATATTTTTTATTCTCAGGTAGAACAAATACTTCCTATAAAAAAACCAACAATTCAATGAATAATAATAATTATAAATTAGTTATTATGTATAATTAATCTATCTAGCTTATTATAAATACTTGAAGTTGATTGCATAATGTTAAAAGTGTTCTAGTATCTTCCTCATTTAATATTTTCCTAATAATTTTTGAAATTTTTGAATCCTCGGATGGTCCATTATTACTAAAAGAATCTAAAATTGAGTAATATACATAATCAATATCAGGTAATTAATTTTTATCAAACTTTGAAAGATAAAATGTCAATAATAAATAACAAGAAAATAAAAATCAATTTAGGTACAGCTACTCAAAATAATTTGAACACCAATAGAAACAAAATAAATGAATAAATTTATGCAACTGAATTTTAAGTTATTTTTAAGTGTATACTTTAACTTTTTAAGAATGTATATTGTATGCTATTTTATAAAACCAAACATGCTGAATTGTATTTATTATAAATATATAAAATAATGATGATAATTGTTTATTACTCATAAATGTTTTTTAAAACAATAACATTATATTGTACTTAAGAAAAAACATTTCAAACATAAGTTTAGTTTAAAAAAAGTCTCAGTTTTTTTAATTTTTAATTGTATGTCATGATAAAAGAATCTAACCTCCAACATGAGGGGATTTGGTCTAAATACACCACTGGAAATATGTTAGTTATGATCGGGGTTATGAGTATTTTAAATCAGAATTCATAATAACAAATTAATAAAAATAAATATTTGAATTACAAACAATAACTCAATAATTTATCAAAAATATAAAAAACATAGGCAAGTTAGGAACTAATTATCAAATATTTTAAAAGTTGTTTTATAATATCTACCTAGATATTTCTGTGAGACTATAACTATATTTGTACAGGAAAAACTTGATTAACCATCACTGTCAAAGACTATGATAATTAACAGAAAATTTGCCATAAACGTATATATTTTACATGTGATGTGTACATAGTTGTATACAAAAATAATACAAACATATATACTAAGCAAAATAGTCTGTCATCTTCTTAAGTTGCTTTGAAGCTCGAGGTTTTTTTTGATGATGACAGATAAAATAGTGATGGTTAATCAAATTTCTAAAATATTTAAATGTTAAAGTATAAGGAGAATAGATAAAGTAATATGTGAATACGTGTTAATAATATATTCAAATAATATATCACAATAAAGTGACAAAAATAAATAAAATACCTATATATGATAGTACAAAATTAATAAAAATGTTATACTTAGTAATAAAACTATCTAGTCTGTATAAACCTAGTTTATTTGAACTAATATTTAAGTTGAGCCTACATAGGTGGATGGATTTAAATTGAAAGCAATTTAGAGAGCTTATTATATTTTATTTAAACAAAACATAAAAATAATATTACTATTTTATCTAGGAATGTGACCACTGATCAACAAGTTAATTTATTTAACTGTCAGTATTGTAATGAATACATATAGACTATTTTTGATAGCTATGTAAATATAAATATATCATATGGTATACCCAGAATTATTTTCAATATAAGTATTACAAAAAGTTAAATTCAAAAGGTATACTATGAAGTGATAATTGTTCATCTTATCACATTAACAAAACAATTTAATAATAATCCAATATGATTTGAATTGTAGTTGTCCATATAGTAATAATCTATAAATTGTCAATTAATTTCAACATGGACAAAGTCAATGGATTAAAATAATTTTTGACAGACTTTAATTTCTTACCATTACGATAACTGGAATAATACATGGATCTGGAGTCAAATGATTCATCTCGTCTTTTAGGAATGTCATCACAATATTTACGTGAAGTAAATCCTTGGTCACCACTATACGATCTGTTCTTCATTAAAACTCTGTTGCTTCTGTAATATGATCCTGTAGTCTTGTTACGATAATCATCTCTGTTGAAGGAGCCATTCTTTGTATAATGATCCACAGGAGCTATATCGTTTTCCAACTTTGAACTGGATTCTAGTCGTTTATCATTGGAACCATTGACAGCTACCTTATCCACATCTGGTTTAACCTTAGACTTTATGGTGATCATCGTTGGTAACTTAACATCGCTCATGGCCGATATAATGGACAATTGTCACTCAGAAAGAGTAACAAGATTCTTTATCAAGGGAACGAATTGAGAGTGCATCGCGCCAATCACGAATTCCGTTCATGAAAAAAAACGTCATACTTACATTGAGAACTTTCATTCATTATCATTGAACCTGCGCACATGTATAACACGAATTGAATGAATAGGAAGGGTTCAGGCCTTCAGGGGTTGATGGAATTACGGAAAAGGATGAAAGTTCGAGGTTCGAGCGGTTATCCCTTATGAATGAGTGGAGGGTAGGAGTACCGAGTAAGTTCAAACGCATGCGCTATCACATTTAATGATACCAGACCAAAGTAACCGAAATAATATTTATAACTGTATACCGTGGTTTTTACTATATTCGTGTCTATTATCAATATAAATTATCACAAATTACTTGAAAACAATAAACATAGACCTTAATCACCTCATAGTGTATAAATGTATAATAGAAAAACAATTCTGATTTCAGATTTTCCGAACAATTTTAATTATAATTTAATAATAGGTGCAATACCTATTATAATTATTATTTTTGTCCAAATCAAAAACGAAATGATTAGGACAATGGGAATTGTCATGTAGTCTTTAAATTTGATATATGAAACAAATGCATAGTAGTATGTTAGAACAAATTATTAGACTATTAATTGATTACAATATATACCTACAATGGTTATAATATGAAATTATAGTTTATGTGTAAAAATGAACAATATTTTAAAAAATTATCTTTGTATTATTTACATTATCTTAAATTATAGTTGCAATTTTTTTTGTTTAGTTGTTAACGTTAAAGATCAGGTAATTTTTATAAAATAATTATAGGTATTAAGAGATATTAATAATACTTAATGTAAAATACATTAAATTTAGCTTTTGGGTTAAGTTATGCTCTTTCTGGTCAAATGGAGGAGTACTCTATAATGTGTACATTGCCATTGTTACACTTACTCATTCTTTTTGTTGAGACTAATTTAATTCATTTTTTTTTGTTAAAGAAGCTTATTTTTAAAATTATAAAATATATAAAATTCATAGCCAACTCATTAGTTCAAAAAAAATATTATCTACTTAGATTGTGTTTTATTTAACTAATGAAATTAACATATGTATTTATAATTATTATAAATAACTTATTTTGATACACTTTTTTAGGATGGCGGTGTTATAAAAGAAATAATATATGCAAATATAACAGATGATACAATTACAGTAGAATTAAAACTACCTGACTCTACATTAATCACACAACATATTGATTTCACAAAGGTATGTACAACTTTAAATAATATTATGTTTGTTGTATGTTGTATCTTTATTAATAAATAATGAAAGATAGGTTGGTACATTAATAGTATATTAATTGTTATTAGGAAATTCAAATAGTACAAGTGTTGTTGCTTGGAGAAGAAGAACGTGGTCAAAAGCCATATCAAATACTTTGTTTTGTCAACCATGTACATGCAAATGAATTCATCTCACCAGATGCGATGTCAAAACTCAGACAAGTATTCTTATAACTAAATAAAATATAGTGTTAATCCCTATGTAAATGTATATTACAAATATAAACATTTTTTCAGAAAAATCCTGGTACAATTCGAGTTGCAGAAGAAAATAAGGGTGTATTCAATATTACAATAGATATGAAAATTAAATTAAAAGATAGTAATTATATATCACAGCATGTTGGATTATTATGTTCTGAAGCACAAGATACAACATTTACTAGCAAAGTTGACATTGATAAATGGGCTACTGTACCAGGTAATTAGAAACTACCTATAGATTGTACAACATTACAAGAAATTACATCTATAAATATATAAATGATGCAATAGAATAAAATAATATCATAAATTATATAGATATAAAAATTTTTTTTTATCAAATTTAATATTGTTGTTGAGATAGGGCATCATGGTGACGTCCACGTTTGAGCCGCCTGAGAGTAGACTTGTCCCAGGGTTTGAAGAATTTTGCGCTTTTTGCATTGCTCAGTTAACCAAAAAATTTGAGATTTTGTATGTAGGCTTTAATTGTTGGAAGTTTGAAGTGTGTGTGAAGGGCTTTGTTTCTGACAAACTAAGGCGGATTTGATATTGTTTTTACTATTTTTGATTGGAAGACTTGAATTTTTATTTATGTGGGTATTGGTGCAGTTTCCCCAGATTGGAGCAGCATAGAGTTCTTTTGGCCGTAGATTTTACCTGTAAAGAAGCAGGGAGCATTTCCTACTTAAGGCAGTTTTACAATTGATTAAAAGGTAAAGAATTTTAAGTTCTTGGTAACCTTGTAGTTTTGAAGAAATGTGAGGGGTTTCAAGTTAATTTTTTTATCTAAGATAACTCCTAGATATTTTGTTGGAAACCAGGATATGTTATCACCATTAAGTACTAGAGTGAGTAGGGTTTTGGGACTACAAAGTGTGAATAATACTAATTTTTAGTATTAAATAGTATTTAATAGTACTTTTTGAGGGGCCTAGGACAATTTTCCATTTTTTCGCCCAGCACTTTATTTTGTTTAAGTGACTATGTTGATGTCGCTGGAGCTGGAATTGATAACACTGTCGTCAGCGTAAAGAGAAACTTTTGTGTTAGATGTAGTAGTAAAGTTACAGATGTATAAATTTAAAAGCAGTTGAGAAATTTTACATCCTTGAGGAACACCGGCTATTAACTGTTTTATTTCTAAGTTGAGTCGTTTATACGAACTGAAAAACTACAGCTAGAGAGAAAGGATTTAATTATGTTGTAAATTGTAAAATGAGTATTTAGTGTTTTTAATTTGTACATTAGGCCGTCGTGCCAGACACGATCAAATGCTTGCTAAATGTCTAAGAAGGCTGCACCAGTATGAAATATTTTTTCAAACTCATTGTTTATGTATTCGGTTAGGTGGAAGAATTATTGAGTAGTTGAATGATTTGGCTTTAAACTAAATCAATGATGTGGAATGGCTTCCGTTGCATCTAGGTGGTTTATTAATCTAGTATATTTGATTTGTTTTAATATTTTTGAGACTGAAGATAGTAGACTCATGGGCCGGTAATTATTAAGGTTTGTGTTATCTTTTCTAGATTTTTTTATCATTGTAATTGAAGATTTTTTCCATTCTGTTAGAAAATGTTGAGATTTTTTGTCTGAAGCATTTGTGATGAATTGTGTTCTGGGGATTTTTTGTTTGGTAATCTTTTTATTATTTCAATAAATTTGGTAGGAGTAGTGTAGAAAAATATGTTTTGAGGAAGAATTTAGGTTTAGCTAGTTTGTTATACCTGACAGTTTCTGTTTCAAAATCTATTTTATCATTCGGCAAGAAAATATTTTTAATAGTTCTAGCTGAAAGTTCACATTTGTGCTTAGGTAAGCATTATCTACGTTTAATTGAGGTTTATCACAGGTGTTTGGTTTCATTAAGTATCTAGAAACTAGTCTTAAATTTGAGTCAGAAGTATGAATTGTAGATAGGNTTGTGTTCTGGGGATTTTTTGTTTGGTAATCTTTTTATTATTTCAATAAATTTGGTAGGAGTAGTGTAGAAAAATATGTTTTGAGGAAGAATTTAGGTTTAGCTAGTTTGTTATACCTGACAGTTTCTGTTTCAAAATCTATTTTATCATTCGGCAAGAAAATATTTTTAATAGTTCTAGCTGAAAGTTCACATTTGTGCTTAGGTAAGCATTATCTACGTTTAATTGAGGTTTATCACAGGTGTTTGGTTTCATTAAGTATCTAGAAACTAGTCTTAAATTTGAGTCAGAAGTATGAATTGTAGATAGGTAATTTTGATATGATGCTATTCTATGTTCTTCGAGTAAAATATCGACTTTTTTGTGATTCTGTTGCTAGATGAATAATTTCCTGGAAATTTCTTAAACTTCTAAATTTATTTATTTTTATTAATTTTTATGCTTTATTTATTTAGGCATGTACTTGGGAAATTTGTTACAAGCTGTTGAATATATTAACTATAAATCACCAAACTCTAATTTGAAATTATGTCGAGATACAGGTAAAGTCTGGTCACACTGTTTATGTACAATGAAAGTAACCATTCCTTGGTACCCTTGTGCGTTAAAATTCTGTAAAGATCATATTGGTAAAAAATCAACAGCAGTTGATAGTTATCGATGTGGTATACAGACTTGTGGTAAAATTATGAATTTTATGTACAGTGTTAAACACAAGCAACATTGTTTGACAATTGAATAACATGTATCATTATTGTTATGTAAATATAAGATAAATTAAACTATTCTGCTGTATATAAGTAAATAAATATATGAATCCAGTTTTTATTTAAATTTTTTTATAATTAATAATAACTAACATTTATTCAAAAACAATCTTCCTCATTTAAATTAGAAATATATATTTTAATAAAAATTCCAACACCACAATTATTAATATTACCATCAAGATGTAAAAAAGACAAGAATCTAGTAAGAAAATCAAGGAAGAAGTAAAATGATACCAAAGCCAGCCACGTGACTATAGTAAAGATCATTCTAGATGTCAGTATTTAAAAAGAAAAGAATACATCCTGTGAACCCTAGATGTAAATGTCTAGTATCCATATTGTTTATGTATACTTCCATGCATCAAGCTCGTCAACCCAAGTTGTAGATTTTCAAAATTCAGCACACTAAGTTTGCATGTACACATGGCAAAAACAGAAACTTTTTTAAATCATTCATTTAAAATGTAATTATATGTAGGTATGTAAAAACAAATGCATTTAATCAAGTTGAAATACTGAATTCTTATTATACTTAAATAAAAAAATAATTGTTTATAATAATGTAAATACTGCTATTTTTAAAGTTGTTATCATAAACAAATGCGTTCAAATAATAAATTATAAAAACTAAAAGTGGATTTTATAATTATTACATCATTTTCTCTTGAACAAACTTGAGTAAAACAGCTAGTATATTATATATATATATTTGTGTTGTTAAATAAGTAATTTACCCAGAGAGTATTACATCAATATTTAATTTGGAATAAAGTATAAACATAGTTTTTTTATTTATTAGAAATTAAATGTTTCAGTATATTGCATATTTCACTATATGTATACTATTACAAGTCTTAATCTAATGACAAATTATAATTTGATTTGTGATGTAATGATTAAATTATATTTCATGTTAAAATATTTAGTTATGTATTTTAATGGTTAAAACTTGAAGTTTAATTTTCATCACCGCTGATAGGAGTAGATCTTGTGGTAATCATGGTTATAATCGCTGGTTTTTGGTTTTGGTTCCCAAACTATAGAATCAAGCACCATCAGATGTTTTGAGGTTGGTGATGCTTGGTGTGGACATTTTTAAATTGGTTTCTTAATCCTACCAGATGGGAAACTATATTTTATAACCCGCTAGTGCTATAGCCAGGATTTTTTTTTTGGGGGGGGGGGCATGAGCCTCTTGCCCCCGCCCATTCACTGTTTTTATACTTTTTCATCACATTATTTTTAGATTGAAAATATGAGTTATAAACTATGTATAATTTGAATCCCCCCCCCACATAAGACATTTCTAAATATGCCACTGTGCCGTAAAATCAAGGAGTAAATCATTGCATTTGGTTTAATAGGTACTCTAATGAAGCCTGGGAGTATTCAGTGTATAAAATATTAAAATTGATGAGGTAGCAATTGCCACCTTGTAATGACGCCTATGCCTACCTAATACCTAAATAAACAGTTTGATTAGTCATGGATTCATTTACTCAAAATGATGAACTTTGTATCCATGAGATCTGAAATTTAACGTCACTAATATAGAAGATATTATACCTAAGGTATGATTTTACCTAAATGTAGGTATTATTCTTATACATACTTACATTTAAAGTTTAACAGAATTTTTGATTGAGAACTGAGGTAGGTATTTAGTTTGGATTGATGTTTAGTGTTTACAAAACACTCAATTAGTGTCATTGCAATTACATTAATCAAGTTGTCATTTTATATTTGTATTAAGTTTTAGGTCATTTGGCATACATACAAATTCACTATATTTAGATTTTATATAATAATATGATTATTTTATATTGCCTAATTATAGCTATTGTGGTATAACAGTAAAACACCATCTGCCACATAATTTAAGTACTATAATTATAATTTGGTACCTACATGATTGATCACTCTTAAATAAGCACCCTTGTATAATTAAAACATCATTAACAATAATTTAAATAACATCAATAAAAATATATTTGTTTAAAAACAAATTATAATATGTAACAATACTTTCTCATATAATTACAATTTACAAAATATGGTTAATTAGTTGGTATGTATTTACTAAGATTTAAAGTGTAAAAAATAAATATGTTATAATACCTATATGTTAATCACTATGATTCTATATACATAGTTATTAGTTTAAGGCATTTAGGCCATTAGCAGTAGGCCATTAGGACACAATTGTAAATATTTGTTACAATATGCAATAATTTTAATAAAAATAAATTTTGATAAGTCAGAATTGGATCGGTAAGTATAAGGTATATTAGAAAATATAACATTATTTGTGATTGTTGCAAAAATATGGACATGTTTATTTACAATACCTCATAGGTATCTATATATATTATATATTATAATAAATTAACAGTATGAGATCACAATATTCATGATGTGCCAATTTTGCTACGACACTATTCGTACGTAATGATATCTTAAGATAAATGTACAATTAGAATGTCAGGTATTAATGGCTAAAAGCCAAAAGGTATTCTGAGATTAGAGTATCCTAAGTGGATCGTCAATATAGGTGCAGCTAGAATACAAATCGAACGCATGGCTGAAAGATATTTTACGATGAACTTGAAGTTATGCAAATCAATTTATAGAATTTACTTAATCGTCATATAAATTATATATTCATTAATAATTATCTTAAATTAAATTCAAATACAATAATAAAATGTGCGAAGAAATTGAACTTCATCGATACGATGACACGCCTTGGGGATTTCGACTGACAGGAGGCCATGATTTCGGGATTCCTCTTACTGTCGTTCGGGTAAGTCTTAAATTTAAATAGTTTAACGTTAAAGAAATATTGATTTATTAGTCATTAATAATAACTGTTAAAATAGGTGACTGGAGGTAGTTTGGCCGAGGAAGCCGGTATGAATGTCGGAGATATGATTATTGAAATTAACGGAGATAACACTGCACAAATAACTCATAGCGAAGCTCAGCAATGTATTTTAGAAGCTGGCAACAGTATTACTCTATCGATTTTACGGTGAATGAATACAATTATTTTAAATGCTGTTATTATACTATAAAATAAATCATAAGATAAAGTAGCATAAGTGTATAGGGTGATTCATCAAGCATGCTAAACTCAGACTTTGGTAGCCGATAGGGTATAACAATTGTACACGTAAAAACATCCCTTTTAAATTTTTTATGTTAAAAAACTCGTAATAATAGAAACATTTTTGTGTCTGAAATATTTAACTATCGGCGTGTAAAAACAATAAAAATACTTTTAAAATTAAAATAAAAACACATTCCATCGGTACATAAACATAATAGGTATATAGTACCTAAGTAATAAAATATTAACAAAATCAATGCCGTTTGCACAGTGATATAATTATTTGTACTAATCGAAGAACATCAAAAATTCAAAACGCAATTTTGGTACCTACTTATTTGTTTGTTATTGTTCCACCAACGGGTTGACAGTCTGTAGTTGTACCATGGTATTTTTATTTTTTGTATATGTATAGGTGCCGTTACATAATTTTCAAATAAAAGTAAATAAAATAATAATAAATTGTTTACAATTAATAGTAGCAGTAGTTGAACATTTTGTTAATATTATTTCATTCTCATGTTACACGTAAAAAAAAATGGGACAATTTTCTATAAATAAATGTTCAATGTCACACATATCATTTGTAATTTGAACAATAGAAGGCTATCAAAGCCGGTAGCTGTAGAAATCCAACTGTCATATTTATTCTGACACATATAATAATATTGCATTATTTTGAAAAAATCGAAAATAATGTGCAAAGTTCTAAATGTTTATTATCTACCCGTGATTACTTATTTGGTGTAATTTTGAAAGTAATGATTTGTTGCATTTTATAAAATTGTTGTGTAGATATGTAGCCGTACATGTAAATGTACATGCAATCAAATATCAATAACTTTTGAACTGGAAGTTTCTATACATTTTTCAAACATTTTTAAAATCACTCAAAAACACTATTTATGGAAAATTTATTTTTTTTAAATGGATATTAAGAAAAGTAGATTTGTTCCCAAATTCTGTAAGTTGTGCTTGTGCATGACAGGGACTGATGAGGAACGACCCATAAACCTGTTTTTAGAATTGTATTTCAATAGTAAAGACCATATTTTCAAATTCTTGAGATTTGATATACCTACTTCTTAAATAATGCTTACTGTGGAGATACAAATTTCTATTTTTTTTCTCCAATGAGAACCCCCCTTTCTAACTGTAATTCATTTAGTTGATAAATATTCAGAGAAAAATTAAAATTAAAATCAGCAATTTTTGAAATAATTAACTTAATCATTGTGTACAAAGAAAAAGTCCATAATGGTGGGTTTGCCATATATGGGAGCCATAATGGTAATTTAAAAATATTAATAGTTTACATAAATGTATCAACATTAGTGATTTGTGAAAATGATCAATAGATAATAAAATACTAGATCCATTTTGTATTTCTTTAAAACTATTTTTAAGGACTATTTAAATTAAATAGCTTACAAAGTTGGTACTCGTTTGAGTTTTGATTTAGGTATATGTAACTACCTAATGCCTTCTAACTTTTCAAAAAAATTGTTCTCTAAATAATTTACAGTAAAATGTGGAGAGGGATTCTTATTTAATAAACAGAAGTTTATATTACCCCAGTGCAAGTTCTAAAAGAATAAGTATTAAGTAATAGGTAACTAGGTTATACTTACTCTTTAATAATTGGTATTTTATGTTTCGATTTTAGTTTTTGAATATGTTTGTTACGTTCTATTCTATTATTTCTTGTTTAATATTATATAAATAAAACAAACCTCTGAAATAAAATAATTTATATTTTAGTTTAAAAACATCAGAGGGTGACTTCTTTAAAAAAAATTAAATGCTTTGAAGTTATGATTGTATATTTTCTAAATAAACAAAACAAATACTCGTAAAAACTATTAAAATAAGTAACTATTTCTTGTTGTAAATAAATTAAAGTTAAATTTGTATTTACAGAGGAAGTCCAGTACCAGCAGTTACACCAACCAGAGGACTACACACACCTACAGTCATTGATCGTGCAACATCTTCAATTGGAAGTTTAACTGAGTATGAGCATAGAGATCATGTAGTATCAGGTAAGTCCAAGCTGTAAATCCATGATTTAAGCCAGTAATAATAATTTAATAATTGTGTGACATAGCTGTATCAGAATCATATGAGAGTGGCCATGAGATGACTGAAGAAGAAATAGCTGAAAAATTATTAGAAAGTGCTGAAGTTATTGAAAATAATGGGAAAAATGTCATAGGGTAAATAGTTAATAGGTATATGTTTGTATTTAATTGAACTTAATATACTTTAAATTTTGATAGTGTCAATTTTAAACGTTTTGTGCCTAAATGTGATTTTATTAAAAATTCACTGGTATTTCAAACATTACAAGAAGAACAAATTTTTGACCAAAAATCAGAGCAAGAACAATTAAAAAGGTGTCCAACGAAAAGATTTTCAACATTTTTAACAACACCAAATAGGCCTAAAATCAGACCGCCTGAAAAAAAAAAACCTGAAGAAGTAAAACAAACTGAGGTGAGATATTATGAATTAAATTAAATTTTTATATATTATATCTATACATTAATAAACAATAATGTAATATATATGTATGTTAACTATTAAAGTATTATGATTATTAGTAATATTAAAAAAAAAAATACTTTTGATATCTAGGTAAATGAATCTGAAAATGAGCTAGTTGAGGAAAATAAATCCAATTCTTGCGAACAAGTATGTACCAACTGTAAATGTAAATTAAGTGATATAGAAGATTGTATTGTATCTACGGATACAGTAACAGAAATTGGAAATGATGAAATCGATCATAATGTAGAAGAATTTGAAGAAAATTTGGAAAATCACATTGAAATCAAAACTGAAGATCACGAAGAGCAATGTGGGATTGACCATGAAGAAAAAGAAAATATTAAAACAAACGAGGTAGATGTATAAAACAATTCATGCATTTTAATAAATAAAGTAGTTACTTATACCCATAAGTTTTAAGTATTTTTATTTTCACTAATAAATTATTTTAAATAATTTGTAAAAATATGGTTAAAAATAAAGCAACTATTCATTAATTGTTAATTTTTTATGTAGATCTAATATTTTATCTAAACCTCATAACTATATTTTTTAGGACTTAATTGAAAAAATTGAAGAAATTCATGAATCAAAAATTGATGAAGTGAACAAAGAGCCTGAGAATACGTTTGAAAAGAGTATATTAAATATTCAAAATCAATTGACAGCTATTCGAGAATTACCACTACAAATACAAAATCATATTTCATTATTGGAAAAACAACTTTCAGATATACTCTCCCACAAAATTCAACTTACTGAAACATCTGAGAGTAATGAAATTAAAAACAATGATGCTGAAGAAGAACAAAAAGAAAGTTTGACTGAACAGGAAAATATTGATGACGGGTCATTAGAGACATTATATGATGATGAAGCGTTTGAGACAGCCATTGATGAAACATTTGAAGATGTACAAGAATCAGATTCTAATGGAATATCAGAAGACAATTCTGAAGAAGAAGCTGAAGATAGAGAACCTAGTGGTAGGCCAATGTACCCTCTTACACCATTGCCAAGACCTATCGTTTTACCTGGTGGTCGCAAATGGAGATGCCCCAAAGATGCTTACAATGAGAAATTTATTGCTGAAACATTAATATCTCAAGCGGAAGTTTTAGTTGGTTCTACATTGGGGTAAATATTGAACTTTTAAGATTTTAAAACTAATATATTACATTTACCTATTTAGATGTATTGATATATTTGCTTATGTAGAATACTGAGTGGCACAAAGAATTTACTCATATTTAGTCTGTATTAGTTAGATACATGATGCGTTCGTATATAATGCCACCAGTGTTTATGTGTATGTTACGGGCAAAGTGGAAAATTCGGGCATTGTACATAGTGACCGGGCATTGTATACAATGTCCGAGGTATATTGGGCAATGTAAATTGTGAAGTATTTATACAAATAATCTGCATAATATATTTTGTTAGATGATAATGATAAACTAATATGAATTTATAATCGATATCTGATTGTGCTTGCATGTCGATCAAGTCAATTTGACAGCGAGAATTCATTTCAGAAGATATGATTGGTTTGACAACCAACCCTTTTTTAGCTGTACTTCCCTTCTTTTTACACGATTCGTAATTATTTAAGTATAACATTATTACATCTCTAGTTATATTTTTGTACTTTTTATTAATCTCGTGTTCCATTCTATTTCTACCTCCATGTCCAATTGACAAATGAACTTCATGTATAATATCATATAACTGAACATTATGCACATAATATTTTATTGCATTACCTTTAAATACATTTAAAATTTAATTAATTAAAAAAAAATTCTAATACTCTTATATAAATAATCATATAAACGAGTATAATAATTATTAGTATATAATATCATTGATTAGGTAAAATAATATTATGCAGATTATTTGTATAAGTACTTCACAATTTACATTGCCCAATATACCTCGGACATTGTATACAATGCCCGGTCACTGTGTACAATGCCCGGGCATTGTATACATTGCCCGAATTTTCCACTTTGCCCGTAACATGTATATTTGTATTGTTTACATACAATATTGAACCTCATATAAAGTAGAATCTTAAACTTTGATCAAGCAAAGAATGTAGCTAGAATATTTGTGAAAATACTCAGAACTTGCTTCAAAATCAAATTATCAAAAAAGCCTAAGTGGGAGACCCTAAATTTTACATTTTAATTTAATAATAAGTCCCAGAAAAAATGAATATTTTGAACTCACAATTTGCAATGTTATAGTTTAGTACCTGGTACAGAGACAACAATAGTAAACATATAACTATTACAACTAGTAATAACCAGGATTAAGCTACTGGTAATAATTGACTCGTATAATTTGAGGAACGAGTACATCTCAGAAATAAGCTCTCGCCCCTCAAAGCTTAACTTAAAATTATAAGTTTACATCTTTACAATTGAGATGCTTGTTGGTGCCAAATTAGTGAGGCTTACTAATTAATTAATTATAATTTTATGGTTACAATATATTTTTTTTACTATCAAAACTTGTTTAGTTATTATATTTATAATTAAATTAACTTTTATAATATAACGCTACATAATACAATATATTATTTGTTTCTTTATATTCATGAAAGAATAGGTACGTAGTAGGTACCTTTATTAATTTAGCAAATTAATAAAAAAAAAGAAGATATTTTTAATGTTAATAAGTATTTTGATTTGCAGGGTAAATTTTAGAAAGTATGAGCCACCAAAATTTGACTTGTCTAATTCAGCGGTATACAAATTAGTGCATAATATTGAGAAAAAAAATACTGGGGGTATTGAAAATAGACCTGAAGTAGTTGCTGCCGAAGAAGATTTCTACTACCACAAACCAGTAATATGAAAATATTTTTAATTTTTTCTTCCCTTTAAATTACATTAATAACTAATAATTGTGTATTCAGATTGACGCACGACAATTCTACTTAGCTACACTCCCACAACCAACAACGGTAAGTACATTAATACCTATAATTACCTAGTAACTAATGAATATTACAATTTTCAATAAAATTTTCGGATTACTTATTACTAGGAATATTTTTGATAGCTCTAGCTCTGAGTATAACTACATATTTTGATTTTTAGGTACCGGATTTTGAAACAGATAGTCAATATGGACATTAGGTGTAAACTATATTTTATTTTTAAATCCAAAGTAGTATTGTTCTAAAAAATATTATTTAGTATAAGTTAATTTATTGTTATTTATTATACCTACATTTAACACTTTAGTTTAATATTATAGAAAAGTTAGAATAACTGAAAATGTACCCAATCCTCCAATTATTGTATTAAGTTTATATCTTATTTTTTAATGTGTCAATGATTTAATGTTAATGAATTCTCAGATGTTTGATTTTGATTATAGTAGATATATTGTGTTGTTAGAAATCTGAAAGTAAAATATTGGTATTAATTGTAAACAGGTACTGTACTATCTAACCAAAAACAGTTTTGTAGAGCCAAACCATCTGTAAAATGTTTTAAGCCGGCTAAAAAATCATAAAAAAAAAAAAACTATTTGTCAAAATTAAAATTTTTTATACCCTATTGACTATGTCTAATACTTAAAAACTAGTGCATTCATTACTAAGTATTTATCGATATTATAATCAATATTTCAACTTGAATTACCAAAAAATGAAACATACTTTTTGTTTTACTTTTAACTAAATTCAAATACATATTATGAAGATGTCTAATTAGCTAACATAAATTTATAAGACTATGTGTTTGATTATAAGTATATATTATAAAAAAACAAATTATTAGAGTGTTAAATAAAACACCCAAATTGAAGACAGGAATGAAGCAGAATTAGCAGACGATTAGCTCAGTATACGAGACTTATGTTTGGTTTGAACTTAAAATGTAACTTGTAATTTAAATGTATAAATTCCTAAACTTCCCTCCTCGCAAAATGCACAAACCGTTAAATTTTACTAAAACTCATATATTATTAATTAATTATATTACAACCATACATCATAATCTAATTTAATCATAATTTAAAATTGATTAATAGTTCAAGCATAAAATAATTATTGTAAACATTTTTAAAAAATATGAAAACAAAATGTGTAAAAAATCACAGAAATTAATAGTTGATATATTTATTTATTATTCAATATAACTATGTAAAACTTATCACAGGATACAACCAAATTGATATAAGATTAAAATTATTGACGTTTTTCTAAGCTCTTGTATTTTGCTTCCAATCTCTTGGCATATGCATCCAACTTAAAAGCTGCTTGTTCTAACTTGGACACACTATCTTCAATCTGGTCAATTTGAGAAAGGTATGGTTCTAATGATTTATCTGACAAAAAAAAAATAATAATAATAAGTAAATAAGTGAATTGGAATTAAGGAAAAGCGTCTTATTTGTAAAATATAAATACAAGAATAAAATTATAAGCAATTGTGAGAAAGGGAAACTTAAGTAACAAACAGTAATTTTTAAAATGTAATAATAATACTATACACATTACATTTTTCATTTAGTTCAATGATTTGTTTTCCAACATCTGAAGCAATTTGTCTATAAGATGCATATTTTTGCATAGTGACTTTATTCATGGTTTCCAACAATTTATAATCCTCCTATATGAAACAAATATAAAAACTTATTAAAAACTTATTATTTTTTTAACAATAAATATCATTAACCAACCTCAGTAATATTAAGTTCTCCCATCAAATATTCAGATGTTTTTTCAAACATTTTAGTGGATAATAAGCTTAAATTAGGATCATGAGGATCATTACGTTCAAAACTACTAGTACTAGTCGAAAGAGTTGGTCCTAAAAAATAGTACACAATTTTTAAGCTTTGTTATATAAATTAATTATAATAAATAATAAATAATTAAGTTTTATATTATTGAGCAATATAGTTGTATTAATTAGATGTTATAAAAAATATGATCATATTTAAAATCATTAAGTGCCTATTATTTTTATGATGTTATGGTACAATAGTTTAGAGAATACTCAATACCTAATCTAAAATTATTAAACTTATATTATACTGTTTTCAGTATGAAGTGATTCAGTGAGGGCATAGGAATGCGCAGATTTTAATTTCTGCCAGGGACAATTAGTACCATAATACTTGGATAGTTCTCCTAATATTTATAACACATCAACATGCATTGTAAATAAACTAACTGTGTTATTGATATCAATGAGAATACAATTTATATTACTTACAGAAGTAAAAAAGTAAACAGTTAAATTTGAAAGTAACTTATTATAAACGTACCAATGGGATTTTCTATAGAGCTGTGCATTCACGAGCTGGAGAACTCACTTATCTTAATATTAAATAAACACGATGTGTCAAGGGTGTATTATCTAATTATAGTAATTATATTTATATTTTGTATACAATGTTTTTGTTAGATTTTATAGTATGTTCATTTTAATACATAACATGTAACAAATTAATATGATTATTTCAAAGATTGTAATTTTGAAACATCTGAAATGTATTAACTAAGCTCATTACATGAAAAATGTTGAACATTTTAATGATAATTACCTATTATTTTTTAATATGAATATCAAAACTAGTTGATGATAGTTTTTTCATAATATTGTGAGTATTGTGCCACAATTAAGTTATATTATATTAATTACTAAATAGCAGGTATACATTTTCTTTAAATTATCTGACATTTAAAATAGTTTATATTTTATGTATTCAAAACAATGTTTAAGAGGAATTTTCAAAATAAATTTACTGTAGCAGCTAATACATGCAAGAAATTATCCTAGTTTATAAAACAATACTTTTTTCACCTCTTTTGGGAGATTCTTCTACACATGCAAAGTCTTCAATTTTATCTTCCTCGGACATAATTTCTTTAATTGAACACTCAAGTTGGTAAGTATTAAATTCTTAATCTGTTGGGCTATAAATTATATATTTGTATACAACAGTTAATGGTCAGACCATAAAAGTATAAACAAGTCCAAATTAAAATTAAATAAGTACCGTATATGTACAGTTGACGTCTATTACTGTTATGTAGTATTTTCTATATTATAATATTACAATTTTAATACTTGATCATTAAAGTTTAAATATCATAACACTCATAACATAAACCTTTAGAAGTTTACAATGTTTTTATTTTTAAATTGCTTAGGTGATAATGATGTGATATCTTATCAAACACTAAGTACGACAATCCGGGAAACAAGGCGACGTACCAATTAATGTCACTAGTAGTTGCCTATACAAAACCCCTTAAAATAGACCACATTGTATTTATGAATAAGCAACCGCTAGTGAAATTTATCGTCACAGACTTCAGTGTTTCCCAAAAATTTGACGACTCTTCCGTATTGGTGGATAATGTATACCCATAGTATTTGATCTTATACAAAAAATTGATATTTTATATACGTCTAAAATGCTAGTTATAGGCGTTATTGCAATAAAATATAGTTTTAAAGATGTATACTAATAATATTTGTATAGACTTTAAAGTGTTGTCTCGTTTTGACTTATTTTGGAACGTGAACATAACATCTATTAAACATAAAAAATGCATATTTAATCTGAGAAGTGATATAAGATAGACATCTTTTTCACAATGACATGATTACTGGGGGGTCTGGGATATTATCAAATACTGTAAATCATTTTCTAAAAAAAATTTATTTTGTAAGTACCTAATATAAAAATATTATTCTTAGGTACTTGAAATTTTTAAAGTACACTGTTATATTTTAAACACTATTGACGTTCTCAAATGGAATGTTTCGACAAAAATGAATATTTAACCTATTAATGTCTAAATAATAAATGTCTAATAGCAAAACAAATTACTTTTATGGCAATTATATGTAAATAAAATATATTTAGTAATACTGACAGACAGGACCGGCCTTAGGAATTTTGCCACCCGGTGCGATTTAAAAATTTTCCATCCATTAAATTATAATACGCACAAATAAATTAATAATCAATAAACATACTTTTTATTGAAAAAAAAACACTAATCTAAATTAAAATAAATCCAGATCTTCATTAATAAATACGAATAATTTCATAATCATTAGATATTTAAACTGTATAATGTATATAATATTAGAAAAAGTTATATACATGGTTCATAATAAGTACATAAAGATAAGTTATCTATTGAAACTGCATTTTCTTGCTTTTGCATTAACAAAATCTTTTATCATGTCAACGTCATTTAGTTGTTCTGCCGATTCATGTTCAATTATTGCTATCCTAACTAATCTACTTAATCTATCTTGAACCATGGTTGACCTTAAATATGTTTTAATAAGTTTAACTCCGTTCTCCACTGGCAGTGTTAAAAGTATACGCAACGCTATACATACATTTGGAGCAAAGTCTCCTGTATTTATAAATAAAATAAATAATAAAATTATCATTCAGAAAAGACCAATTCGCAGGGTCGGTACTGATGGCGAGTTGTTTATCTTGAACTTTAACCGCGTCAAAAGTGGGCAAAATTGTTGTAGAACAAGTATCTGTTTCTTTTGTGGCAGCTACTATTTTTGCAAAATCGTTAATATGATGTGAATCATTTTTTATAATAGCTTTGTTGGTTTGTATTATGTGTTTTGCTTTTTTTGGACAGGGAAGAGTTGAAGAAGATGAATGTATTGCGAGTTGCGACATCAATTAACTTATTAGAATCGTTTGTTGAAATTATATTACCTTGTTGGTTACTTTCGAAAAATTTTTTAAGAGAACCAGATTATTTTTTTTAAATTGGCTTCTTTTTCAGCTTTCCTTTTTCTGTACTGAGAGCCCGAAAGTATATCTCCCATCTGACATTGTATTCCCTTTATTTTTAAAAACTCGACTGTACTAGAAAATTAATAAAAAGGTACAATAAATACGAATTGGAATACAAATATATACGAAGAAAAGAAGAACAATATATTTTAACAAAATGTTATGCGGATTACAAATGAGCTGATTGATATATATATTTATATATATTTTGAGATTCGATATAGGATTATAGGAAATATTATTAGTGTATACGTATACAAATATCAAATTGCAGGCACTATTTTTATGCCCAACGAGTAGTCATTTCGGGTTTAAGCATTAAAGTATCACACATTTTTAATACATACGAAAAATCTATTATGTATATGTTCATTTTATACATAAAAAATGTACATATGATATATAAATATTATTAATCATAATACACACCTTAAGTTAACGTAAACAACGTAACGTTTGTAGCGAACTAGCGACAATAAACATAATATGTTTTCATATTATGAACATACAAAATCTGGCGGAACGATTGGTTACAGTACTTATACAAAACTAAACATAATATAATACTTTATAATACCATACTATAACGTAATTTATATTTTTCATAATATAGATAATGAAAATGACGAAAATAATTCTGGCAATTCCGCCGTATCCCGTATGTCCATTGCCCATTGCTCGTTCGAGATAAACATGAGAGGTTAAAAATATCGCTGTGATAGTGATTATACGAGCGGTGATCGCCATGCAGTAATTTGTATTATATTTATGAATATTTAATAGGTATTATATAAATAATAACTGAAAATCAATAAATCCATAATATTTTTGCCGCCCCTAATTACCCACTTAAAATTGCTGCCCGGTGCTAATGCGCCGTTTGCACGAGCCTTGAGCCGGCCCTGCAGACAGACAGTCTTCGTTCAGGATTATTTTTCGTATACAAATAAAAAATTAGCTAATGGCTGAATGAAATTATATTATTTAATTCAAATGTAGCAACATATATTCCAGTGATTCACATTTCGAAACATACAGTAAAACTACAGAATAGAATAATACCTACTTAAATACTTAATATAATAATATCATCGTTTATTATGATACTTAAGACCACACAGGCAAATAAACCAGTTGACTAATATTATCAATATCTAACACAAAAATATTCAAAATATACTAATGACTAATCATCATAACTAGTGTCATCCCAGCAGATTCTAATTTCGGTTGTATGTTGGTCTTCTGTCTCTTGGTCGAATTGTTACAGGATAACCATGAACACTTCTCACCAATAAAACTAATTTTAACTTAATGTCTGTTAATTTGATATCTGTATGTACGCTATAATGTCGCAAAAATGTTGACACAGTGACTTTCATCGACCACATGGCATATTTGGATCCTGTTGTTTAAATTTTAATACAATAGTTAGGTATTACAATGTACAATGGTATCTATTGGAGTTTTATATTATTATTATGATTTCGCAAATTGTTATTTTACCTATGCAACCTCTTGGACCACCACTAAAAGGAATAAAGCTATATTTATGGCGTTTAGCGATATTTTCAGGGCTGAAATTTTCAGGATTAAAAGACCAAGGGTTTGGGTACAAATCAGGACTATGGTGTGTGCCTATTGGACCAATAACACACGTTGTTCCTTTTGGCAGTACGTAATCACTTGAAACTAAAATACAGTTAATTCAATACTCAATAATATGCACAGGTGTAATATTTAAATTCACTCACATATTTTAAGATCTTCTTCAATTTTTCTGAGAAGCAATGGTCCTACAGGATATAATCGAAGGGTTTCTTTTATCACTTTTTCCAAGTACACTAATTTAGTAATGTCTTCAATGGTTATTATTTGGTCATTTCCACCAAATATATTGTAAATTTCATCGTAAACTTTATCCTAAAATATAAATTAAATTTATGATCAAAAAGTTAGGTATTTTACATTGTTTTGATTTCTATATAAATATGAACTGAATAAATAAAACTGTCGTTTAAGTACAGTTTTTTTGCACTTGTCACGAAAACTTCGAGAATATTTTGTATTTTTTTATACCCGATATTACATATTTACTTGGATATCTTGATGTATAGCTAACATCAATAGACAAAAACAGATTGTGATAGCACTGGTTTCACTGCCCTGTAAATACATATTTTATATATTTTATTCAAAATATTTTTCATAACAAGGATATTATACAAGAACAAGATATTATATGAAAGATAGCAGATATTTACCCCAGTCATCATCGTTACAACCTCATCCCTAATATCGGCATCTGAAAAGTTTCCACCATCGTTGTTCAGTTGGAACAATATGTCCAAAAATAGTTTTGATTGGTTTTCTGAACAATAATACATTTTATTAAGAACTTCATGATTTAAATTTTTTATTACTGGTTAGTGGTTATACTGTTAAGCTGGAAATATATTATGTTGTAAAAGATGATAATTTAAATTCACCGTCCCAAATAACTCACCATCGCCATTGTCGATTGAGTCTATTTTAGCAATTGCTTTTTTCCTTTGTTCAAATTCATCTTTCTTTTCCTTTATCACCTAAAAATGTCAAATACAATTATGTATGGTATGGTGCTTTAGGAAATAACATTAGGTAGATATGCCATGTTAGGGTTCAAATAGGAAAGTTGGACAGGCTTGGAAGTTGTATCACGTTTATCAATCTGATAAATCTATTTCAAGCAACCACGGAATAAGATATAGATGTCTATGAAATGAAACTGACCAATAATACCTTCTAGTACCTACATACCGCTACTCGCTAGTACATCGCCGGTATTTGTGTTTTATTGTTTAACAATAATATTTTTCGAGTGAATGATAGTGACATGTGTGAATTAAACATGTGTGATCAAAAAATCAGTTTTTACAAAACATATAATTTACCTCTTCGTATTATTACTGAATAAAAATATGAATAATACAAATTTATCAAAAATTAAATATGATGAAATAATTGTAAATAAAAAGGAATCAAAAATTAAAAATTGTGATGAAACGTTAACAATAAACATTAAATTATAAAGAAATTCGATAAAATTAATGTGTTGAATGCAAAAATAATAATTGTACACATTAAATATGAGGGTACCTGCCTAATACAATAAAGTATTTGTTAAATAATGAAGGACTTTATTTCTATTTTTTTTTTCAATGTGCTTAATATATTAAAACATGTTTTTATTGCAGAATACCATTTAGACATAGCAAGTAAGTACAATGTGACCATGCAGTCTCTGTGAGAAAATATCGTTATTTTTTTACTTGGTGTATATAGGTAAACACATTGGCGCAACTAGGGTCAAAATTCTGGGGAGCTACGGCCCACCAACAAAATGGTTCATTTTATTAATTTAATTAATTTAATTTTATCTAACTTATTCATTTATAATAACCTATATGAGGCTTATATAGTTATATCTAAATAAATGGACAATAAGGGATATTTTTGGAGATGGCCAAATCGTAGTCATGGGTTCATTTAAATTAATAGTTTTGTTTGGCGCACCCCCAGAATTTAAACCCTCGCCCTCTCCCATAGTTGCGCCACTTGACATACTATAATATACAACCAGCTACACTTTTTTTTTTTACTATACTTTTTAGTTTTTACAATATCCAATTCTACTTTGACGTTACACAAACATAATAATATGTGTAAGAGTCTAAAAAAACAAACATAATATAAATTTACCGTTACTAGTTATTGTTAGGTTATACAAAACGGGCATAACGATCCAAAATTATGAACGACCAAAGTGAAGAGTAAGTGTTTATTGAAGCCTTAAATCTAAAAATACATACTTGTAATGGAAATTGTTTCACTGTTTCGAAGACTTTTTTCTGTCCAGTGAGTTTTAAATACATTGAAAACATGATTTCTGGGTACAACCATGGTTTGAAAGCTCGTATCGAATCTAACTCCGAAGTTCTGAAAACAAATTGACGTGATTATCAGTAGATAGTTATATATTTTAGTTAGGTACTAAAAGAAAGATGCAAATTAAGTATTCAGCATGAAAAACATCTATAGGAACTTAACATAAAATATTTTTTTTTATAGAATTGCGTATTTATAATGATTATAATATCATGTTTTGTAGTAAATACACAATATATTATGAAATATTATTCAAGTCCTCGAGACTTTTTACTTCATATTACATTTCAAGTGCTTCGGCGAATTCACACTCATTATTGTTTGACTGAGTGTCAAGATTGTAACCCATAGTAGTATCTAAAAATAAAATGTCCATTATTATAACACTATATTATGTTACCCTAAATTCTCAAATCATTAAAGACAGTATTATTACTTACGACAAATAGTATCGAGAGAAGCAGGTGCAATATAGTCCCAGAGATCGAACGCTCGTGTTTCATTTAATTCTTTCTTAACATTCCTGATAAGAATTTCGGTTTTCTCGTTAAACACAGGGAAAAATTGTTTCAAAAGTTTGAAATTGAAAGCGGGAGTGATCATGCGACGATGTACTCGCCATTTGTCCACTGTAATCGTTTTAGAACATTTTGAATTGTATAATGAAACCATAAAAATCTCTCTTTATTCACTAAGAGTGAAGATCTTAAATTTATTAAATTAATTATAAATATCAAAATTTATTTAGAGCTGATAAGTAAAATAACATATTTTGTTCCAACCAATTTTTTTGTAAAATTTTTTCTACACATTATTTATTTCACGTATAACATAATATAACATTTAATACTAAAGACAAGAATTTAAATTCTGATCTATCAAGATTAAAAACATTTATTTTAATCTTATAATTTATCAAAAAAAATTTTTTTTAACTTCATTATTTTTGTTAAGTAAGGTTCTTCCGTGGTCATGAAAAATATTTAAAATTCAAAAAGTATAATCTTAAAAAAAATATTTTTTGAGAATCTTTAAATAGCCACTTGTTCAAATCTAAATATTTTTTTCAAAAGTTATTACTATTCAAATTATTAAGTGTTAGGTACTTAAATATGTTGATGAACTAAAATTATAAAAATAAACCAGTTGACTTAGATGTAGCCATGTAGGTACCCATTTTTCACAAATGTATATCATATAAACTGTTGTTGTTGTATTCAACATACCTGGTGCAGTAAATAAACCTTCACCTAGAATATTCTTGAAAAAATCGTATATTCGGTCTTTCTGAAGGGCCTTCGAACTATTTAAGACAATCTAAAAACAAATGTCGATAAGTAAAAACTGCTATTTTTTTATAAATTTAATGGAGATGCTATTAAAAAGTTAACAAACTAATTTTATGTTCTGTAGATACTTGCCTATCGTTATAACTTATAATAAACGGAATTATTTTTAAAATTTGTATCAAGGAATTTATTATTGCAATAAATTTCTATCTTTTAGATAACTTTTAGCCACTAACTACTTTTAAAAAAGGAATTACTTGTACGTCTTCTGGCTTAACAATGACAACTGCAAAATATGGTCCTATCCATAATCTGTATGGTTCTAGATTATAATCTCTCGTATAATCAATAATTTTGCTCATGATCTCTGAAAAAAATATACATAAGTGGTACATTACATTTTTTCAGAAATTTGTATTACTTTCTGATGATCCGAGGAATTGATATCCTATTCCAATAATCGGGTACGATAGAGGTCCCGGCATTCTAGCCGCCAGTTTTTGAAAGTGCCTATTTTTCCATTTGAAGTAATAACATAATACCACAAGAATAACAACATTTAGGTAAAAAATTATATCAATCATTATCAATCTAAAGGTTAAAATTTACTGACTGTATATTAAATGATAATTATATTATAAAAACGTTTAACACAATATTATACTATCTGCATCAATGTATTAGTTTTGACAAATAACATTTAATTTAAATTAAAAATGAAAAATATCTGTTTACATCGATTTTATTATTATAATATTATAAAATTATGTTTCAATATTTGTCATACGTATGTTCGATACTAACTATTAATTGCCATACATTGTACATAATATCTGAATAAGACAAAAATAACTAACAGTTTTTATTCTCTAACATAACCTCTTATAGTTAAACCATTAACTATTATACAAAAATACATCGATCTTTTGTAGAAGGGATAAATAATAAATGATGCATACGTTTAAAATACTAGTTTCTGATTTTAATTATGAATTTATAGAATATAATTATAATTGCTTAAAATGTATTTACGTAAAATACAATTCAATAGGCATCTTTATTAAAATCCTATTTACCTTGGAATAATATTTAAATTTGTTTAAACATTCAATAATGTAATAGTCCGTTGAATCTTTGATACATTAAACAAATGTTCGTTTATCTTTACTGTTCAGTAATATAATTTTTTTTAAATGAAAAGTCGTTTATATTTTTTTTACTGAGGAAGAATAAAATAAACTAAAGATCTTGAGAGCACATTTCGTTGGTGTCGGCCCAGTTGTGGTCAATACCTTACCTTATTTTGATACATATGATTATATGAACTGGTTTCACAAGACTGACATAATAACATAGACCTTATACTAATAGATAAAAACTGCGTACAACAATAGTATTACGAGCTACGTAAAAACATATCTCAGTGATGTGGGCCATCTTTACGAAAAAATACAATTATCTATATATCTTACCCTGCCACCCCTCATTACTGTTCGTATGATTTTATCAAGTAATCAAAAAGCGTCCTGTACGTTGTTACGCTTTCCATACACACATAGCTTGTCTAGTAGTATAAGATTTATGCATAATAATAATAATAATTAGAGTTGTACTAGAGTAAAACCAAACTTTCCTTCATTCATTTTATTTGTACATACAATTTGGTACAACGCTATCCATGTTTATTTAGCCATAACGTTATCAATGTCGATGTGATAATATCAATTTTTATATCACATTGCGATTACTGAGGTCTGAGGGGAAGTTGTATTTTTCGATTTATTCATTGTTTCGTAGTGTTTCATAGAAATGGTATACGCAATACACATTATGCACGTTTCTTTTTTCGTCTTTTTCGTTTCGTAGTTTTTCGTTCAATTTTCATAATTTGTAACCAAAAAACCAGAATTCGGAACTGAAGTCTTAACCCCCAATTTTGTGTTTCATTTTTCGAATCCTGGGCCAAATTAATTTTTTTCTATAATAATGGGCGCCGAGCTAGTGCGCTGAATTATAAATTTCTACTTCATACCAAACTACAAGGTTAGCACCCAATTCGTAAAGGTGCTAAACTGAGAATGGTTCCCTATTATACATATAGTATAAATTTGTGTGTGGACAATGTACATAGGTACTTCATAAGTGTTAAGTACCTATGTATAAGATTGACGTGCTGTTAAAAATTGTTTTGCTCATCAATTGTAGCAAAAAATAAGTAATATTACACATTACATTTAATGTGAAAAATTTTAATATAGAATCTTGTTATTTATTGAATTTCATAACTTGTTTGACACAAGTGAACATTTCATCAAAAATCAATTTAGTATCAAATGTAGGTATAGGTATTGTTATATATAGTATTATACATTTATACATTTACAAAATATGTTATATTTGATGTAATGAACACCTACATAATAAAATTATATGTTGCGTGTATATCTGCAATTGGGTGATTATTATCCATGGCATCTCATAGGCTTTTAACTATATTTTAATTTTAAAGTGAGTTATAAATTATTATAGAATCATACTATCATACAATTTTCGACTATCAGTTTTTTTTTTGTTTTCTGTATAACCTTGAAAAAAATTTAATTCAGGGTTCCTCGCATGTTTGTGACTGGAAATTAAAAAACAATTTTGCATTAAGCCATATTATTTTATTTAAAGCGATTGACATTGGACCTCTATGTTTTGAACATTTATTATAGTGTATAAAAATTATTACTCTATGATAAAAATGCTAATATTATATTCGGTGAATTAATCATGTATGCACGGTTATTTATATATGAATAAAAAAAAAAACAAAAAAATTATATTGATAAAAACTTGTTTTCCATTTTTTTTTCATTTTTTCAGAGGCTTTTGAAAATCACTGGGAATTTTCGATTTTGACTTCTCAAATGCACCAACAAGATTCATATTTCTACTAGAAAGGAAGAAAAGATACAGAAGTTGAAAATCTAAGCTTCATTTCAACTACTTATCGTGTACACATAGGTACACACAAAAAACCCACTGGAAAATCAATACGAAACTTAATTTTAACAATAACTTTGGCCACTTCTACTTGTCTACCAGGATACTCACAAAGCGTTGTAACCATAAGTTCGGTTTTCAAAATTGAAACTCTCAAAATAGCCGGACAATTGAGTGAATTTTTTTTGTACATCTCCATGTCTCTTCTACAATCAATGGCCAAAGCCATACTATCTAATATATAGATCATAATATACAATTAATAAGTTTAATAATATGATAAAGTATATTATGAACTAAGCTCTATGAACTAAAATTGAAGGCTGCCGCCGTTTACGAGAGTAGTACTTGTAGAATATGGTTAAATATTTTTTTGCCGAAAACATGGTTTCGTACTGCAAGTAATATAGATTATTGAATGGTTTTACAGTAAAAATATCGATTTTAACAATATTCTAGATGCTAGATCATAATTTATTCTAGAATCGTAATAGAAGGCCGATTTTTTGTATCGTTCCAATTGTCCAATATTGTATGCTGAATTAACAAGTTATTTTAAAATTTTTATCATCTAATTATTTAACTAATTAATTCAATAATCAAAAATCAGGGTTTTTATGATTCTTAATAAAACTCTCCTCTACAATTTGTATAATAAGTATTTGTAAACCTCTTCAATAAGTCGTACTATTTGAAGTACCCAAGTAGACGTAGCCATGTTTTTATGTCAAATGGTTTTCATGATTGCACCCTTTTAATAACAGCTAGAAATATTTTGTAAAATATATTATTGTAATAAATCTTTGATTTGATTTTGACAAAAATTTGTTAAACCTAAAATTGTCCAATAGTTCTAAAAACAAGAATTAAAATAAATTAGGCAATACTGCCAAAAGGCTATATTCATTTGGATATTACTGTGTTTTTGACTGAGTGTTAAAAAAAAGCGGGTAAGTGGATATCGTCCTACTGTACATTAGGTGTCTAAGAGGTCGCTGTAATGGATGGTATTAAATTTGAATTCAATGATATTAAATCATTGTATACGAAAAACAATTCTAAGCTGAGACGATATGTCAGTCTAGGATATTTAATATTGTTATTACTTATTATTAATATGGTAGCCGGTAAGTTGAATTAATATTATTCTTAAATTATCAGTGATGCTTGAAAAATATTAAATATACCTATGTAAAATTGTGCTGTTTTGGAATCGAATTATACAACAAAATGATAAACGTTATTATTTGTGTTAATAGCTGTTAATAACTGCTTAAGTGGAACCTTGTTTTAAATTTTCAATCTTTAGCTATAAAAATTGAAAATTGTATTCATTTTTAACTATAAAATCATTTTCAATTTTCAATTTAATAAATATTGTTAAAATTTTAACTTAAAATGCTTATTAAAAAAAATTGTGCCAATATATTTTTAATACTTTTCAATGCTATCGTAACAAGTTATCAAAAGTCTTTTATTCATTTTTCATGGTTTTGAAGATGGCATCTAAAATATCAAATATAATATTATTAAACTGGTAACGGGCTTCAGTTATATTTAGCGTAATATTATGTATTATATTGTAAGTTGTTCTGCCTATGCAAGTTTTTCAGGGCGCTGTGCTATTAAGTATTCAGTTTATAGGGAGTTAGTAATTTATCTTGATAAAAGGTAATTGTATTGCATCGTATTCCAGCACACAGTTTGACACCATTGTACGAGTTTAAAGGGTTTTTATGAAAAATATGGGCTGTAAAAAAGGTGTGATGGATGCAATTGTGCCTGGAAATTGTGTTTTTAATTTGCATCAAAATAAGTGTGTCTATATGTATTTGATTATCATTTATCAAGTATTCAATAATTTCCTCGTTATCCACTTTGACGTCGTGTTGTTATAAAATTGTATTGTAAATTGTGTTATTATAAAAAAAAATTGTTATTATTGTAATCTTCTCATACCTCAATATCTTAAATTCTATTTTCGAAACGTGTACGTATCATCGAAAGAATAATTGATTTAAAGTTTGGTGAAAATTACAATTTATATTTTTTAGTCTTTTTACTACCTGACGTGTCTCAAATTACATATATTTATTTTGGTGCAAATTTACAAAGGCATTTAAAAAATGTTGGTTCAAACTTCAATTTTGCACATGACTTGTATAGTTGTTTTATAAAATAAATCATTTGTTTAAAATATTATTCCTGTTAAAATTATGATTAGTATACTACCTTTGAGGACTTATGAGAAACCTTTTATTTATTTCTCATGGTCTTTCGAGGCATAAGTGGTGCAGGACATGGACCGATAACGCTAAAAAACACAATTTATTTTTAATTCTATTGTTGATAAAAATTATAATTTAAAACCAGATTTTAGAATTTATGTTACACTGGTAAATTCTAAAAAAAATTGTTTTCAACTAATATCGTAATTTGTGCAAATCTAATTTTCCAGAAAAATGTACTGAGGTTAATAATTCAATGGTCACTGCAGCCCGAAAAAAATATTCAAGAACAGAATATGATGTCCTCATGTGAATTATCAATTGTCATTGATCAAAAAGTTTGGTGAAAAGACTGTACTATAAAGTTACAATACCTACATTCCTATCATCAAATATAATATTAGTAGATAGTACTAAAGTAGGTATGATGAAGAAAGTGTATTTTGATTTGTTCCTATTCTACCCGAAATGTACCTTCACGGCTTTACTCCAGACGGTGGTAAGTACTAAAGTAATTATTTAGAATTACACAACTGTTTGTATAGTTGACTGTTGGAGTAACTATTTATTACTGTGATGTTCTTATGAAGAATTATGTAGTTTATTCCGTGTTTACCAATTATAAAGAATAATATACTATATGCATATTATACCAAGTTATATGAATGATCACCAAAGACTAAACTTTTAACTAGTCAATTGTGGTAAGTAGCTAATATGGTGATGACGATTAAAGTCCCTTGAAGTCCCTCTAACCTACGAATAATATTATTTTAATTACAACAAAATAACTAAAATCATTATTTTTTGTTTCACTATCCAATTTCTTAGAAATTTAAACTTGAAAATAAATATCTGTATGAACAAATTAAAATTGTGCATACGTATTTTTGATGTACTTAGGTTTACGTAAGATTAAATTAATATGAGGATCTTTCAACCTTGTATTAAATTTTGAAAATTTGGATTTTAAAAAGTAATGCATTTTTAACTATAAAATAACTTTCAAATTTTCTTGATTTGATCAATATTTTCAATATTTTAACTCCACATAAAAAAATTGTAATTTTGTATTTTCTATATTTATAAAATGTTATAAGAACTACTGATGTAAAATCTTGCATTAATCTTTCAAGATTTTTTGTGAGCCTATAACATTTTTTAACAACACTTTTAAAAAAAAATTGTAAGTTTCATGTGTCATTTAAACAGCTTAAAATTAGTATAAATGTTTTGAAAATGACATTGTGTATGGTAATGTAATAGGTATAGTAAATCATAATTTGAGTAATAGCTTAATATTTTGAGTTACAAATCATTTTTAAATTCATTAGTATTGAAAATCGTTATTTTACCAGTAAATATCCAATGTCATCAAAATTTTAAATTCTATCTTATCAAAAATGTATGTGGCCTTACTATAATTTTTTTATTAAATGCCCGTAAAACAAACTTACAACTAAAGACATTGTATACGATTTTCAATAAACCACAGGTACCTAGCTATGCATTTTCAACTACAAAATTATTTGAAACATTTTCTAACTAACTGTAAATCTGACTCCAAACAATCATACAAAAATAGTATGGATTAGAGCACCAATTCAAAAAAAAAAAATGTATTACAATAATATCAACTTATGAGGAACCTTGTATTACATTTTTTAGCTTTTCGATCGATTCTAATTGTTTATCAACTGTTAAAGTGAAAATCGAAGCATTTTTCTACTTATAAAATGTCCACAGACAGCAGCACAAAAATTAAAAAACATATTATTGCCAATGTAGTATTACCGTGCTGAAAAAAATGTCGGGGGGTCTAACATTTTTTTAATATAGATATTGAACACTTATCATTTTTATGGGTCCAAATGTACAAATTCTTGTTCTACTTTTAAAAAATTCTGGGAGTTCTGGACCCCTCACCGTCCCCCACCAATTACGGCCTTGATTATTATCGTTGTAAAAATAATAAATTATGACATCGTTCTACTTAGAATCTAAAAATTATTAATTTAGGAATTACAGTATCCCTTTATTATTTTAATTTTCTATAATCTCATATTCTTATTTATAGATAAGATAATCAATATGATGTGAGATCCAGGAGTTTAATAACTTTGTGAAATTACCTAACTGTGTTTTTTTTTTCTATATTTGTAGTTAAATGTTAAAGCCACCTCATATGTCTTCTTGTAACACCGGTTAATGGTACTCACTACTTACGCTATACTAGTATATTCAAATCCAGATATCCTCATAAGTCATTATCACATAGAACACAAAATCAGCTATTCAACAAATATTTTAATAATAATATAACTTCTCGCTTTCTCCCTTCTTGTTGTTCTGATTATTGCTGATGTTTAATAGTATAGAGTTAAATACAATTTGTTGACCGACTCAAAATGTAACCGAGTTGGCGCCTCATCAATGTTAGGTACATACCGTGTGGTTAATAATTCTTTTAAAATAAAAATTGAAGTTAATTTATAGAAAATAATATTTAACTTATAATGTATAGTATACATGTAAGCCGTAAGGTAAATGCAAATTTAGATAATACCTACCTTTATCGGCATTCAAAGTTAATATATAAAGTTATATTACACTATTAATAATGAATAACCTGAGTTATTAAATTATTTGATTATTTTTTCATAACGCAATATTATGAGATTAATTACTCACCTATTAATTATTATTTATGATAATACAACACTTAGTTATGTGTCAAGTTACTACCAATAACTACCATTTTTTTAAAAATTAGATCAGTTCCTTATTATTTCATTGTGATCTAAATATTTTGCATCATGTCCATTAATCGTTATATTATTGAATAATAAAGTTGTATTTTACAAGTTAAAATGAAATATGAATAGCTATAATATTTTATTGTATCAACAGTTTGCGGTTATATCTACATTCTACATATTAATATATTATATACTTATTGTAAAAATAAAAATGTTTAAATCAAATTGGTCTGGAAAAAAAGACGTAGCCGATTTGCCGATTATACATTTTTAACTGCTAATAATAATTTTGTTTTCCGATTAAATCTAGGTGTCCATTATTTATTTTATTTATTTGATCAATTTTAATAATACAAAAAAAGTGCATTTTAACTTAACAAAGTGTAATTTTTTTTTACCAATTCAGCTTAAATCATAAAAAAAAAATAATTTTAACTTATCTTTGAATTAGTAGTACCACCGACTTTAATCGTTTATTTATTCTTATGAATTATGATACTTCAAGCACACGGTATACACAGCAGCTGCCCTGTCCTTCCACAATGGCACAATCTGCACCGCGCTCGCGGTTGATAACGTGAAAGAGGATATGCGCATTACGGGTCGAGTTGTCGTCACTGCTGGCGCATTTTATATATCCGGAGAAGCTTCAAAAATAAAACGTAGAGTTTAAACACGCGCGCGCGCTCACGTCTCTGTTCTAAAAATGCATTAGTCTTGGCTCACGTCGGTTGAGTGTTCACCACCATTTTAACGTCGGGAAATTATTTATTAACGAAAAATAATAAGACACATATTCAAAATAAATAACGGCCAAAACTTATATTATATCGTTATTTGATTATACCTCTGATTTAATTTTTTTGCGGTCGTGCTTAGTAATTAATTTTTTTGTGACAACGCGTATTTATTTAGGCATTTAAATGGCCCAGCTAATAAATTTGAAATTATCCAGGCACGATCAATCGTCTCCGTGGGGATTTAGACTACAAGGAGGCAAAGATTTTGGGACACCATTGCTCATTCAAAAGGTAAGATGTAGACGATTCGTTATTGTATCTAATTGGTAAATTATAAATAATATACAAATAATTGATTATAATTTAGGCTTTATTATTATTAAATTTAGGAATGAGCGTAGTGGTTAGGCAATAGTAATAGATACTAATAGTTTTCAATTAAAAATGTAAAAGTTTTCCGGATCACGATTGTATTGACTATTAATTTAGTAGAAAATTAATAATTATACATAATAACCTAAGGTATATAATAAGAAGATGCTACATTTGAGATTTATTTCAGAAAAAATATATTATATAACAGTGCCAATATTAAATTTACATATTAAAAGTTTAATTATGATGTGTTTTTAGAACTTTTAAGTCAATTATCAACATATGTACATACAACAGTTACTATATCATGTTTAATCTGATAAATAAATATTTAAAGATTCAAATATTCATTTTTGTAAATGATATAATATAATTTATATTTAAAAACGTCTAAATATTATGCATACTTAAATAAAAATTTTATCATGGCAATTATATTTTATTTAGTTTACAAATGATGGTATTTAAAAATAATAATAATAATTTCATATCTTATTGATGGAACTATTGATTGAAAGTAACACAGAAGGATTGAGAAATTTAAAAAAAAAACAATTGAATTCTAGAAAATATAGAATTTAGGTATTCCGAAATAGGTACGTACTTATCGATATAATTTTTAATTTATATTTTATTGAAATATAATAAGTTAAAACAACGTATAAAATAAGGCAATAAATAGGCAAAGTGAATGATTATAAAATGTTTAATGAAGTTAAGTAATCTATTTTTATTTATTTAATTTTAGTTAAGTAGGTACCTATCTGTTAGCATATTATAAAGATATATTTTACCTCAACTAAAATAAAATTGACCTTTAAATTGTTTTTGTATATAGTTGCCACTATAATGTTAGCTATTACGTCTCATTAGTTATCATAGTATTATTTGTACATTCCATTAATTTCGTAAATAATTACTCGAATATATTTGTTTTTAAATTTTGATAAATTAATTATTATTTCAGTGATTCAATTTCCATGTACATGTGCTTGTCTATAGTTCTTCCAACATAAATAAATTCCATTCAATAAAACTCGAAGCATTGAGAGTATTGAGACCATTCCATCAGTATAAGTTACCATACGAGTATAGAGCCTTTTCTATTTATGTAGCTGTGCGTATTGGCCTTCTGTAATTTGGGCAATGTTCCCACTGTCACAAGTTGTTCGATTGTTATAATCGCCAATCACGAAATCAATTCGTAATCAACCCAATTTAGCAATTAATACCCATCATTATATCAAAATTATGTGTTTTCGGTCGTTTTCCATTGCAAAACTGAGAGTAGGTATATAAACTTTATGGTCCAGAGGATTACCACGGATAATTATCTTAGATGTGGTATATTGGTTTGGCAGTCAAGCAGAAACAAAATATCCGAAAAATCTATTATGTCCGTGATGACATTTGTGGCTCTATAGTTCATCACGATTCTCCCACGATTACAATGACCCCTGTACTCTGTAGGCTGTTAGGTATATTAGAATTAGATACATCTAACAATATTGTGTTAAATATGTATATGTACATTTGTAAACGTAATTCAAGATTGGGTCATAGCTCATATAGTACGGCGGTACGGGTCATTACAGATAATTGAAAATAAATGCAAAGTAATTATTATAATATTTTGTTTTTTTTTTATTTAGGATGTTATGGCGAATAAAAAATTTTCAATTTCATTATAGATTCCTGTAACTAAACTTTTTATAACTTCCGAGACTTGGGCCCTAGGCGAATAACAATTTTTTGCTTACATTACTATTACGATTTAATAGTAGGTAAATTTAATTTAATAGTAGGTAATAGCCTGTAAAGTGTAAACTGCAGCTGGGCTAAGTGAAGGTAAATAAATGATGTCTAACATATATACATATATATAATACATATTATATTCACTGTACAATTACAATATAGGTACATATTATGTTGAAATACCATAAAAAGTATAATATAGGGTATATAAAAACATTGAAAATCTTTTTAGTAGGAATTCCATAATGCACAAAATATTTGAAGAAATATTCTCACTCAATATAATTAATGATTATTAATTTTGAATTTTGATAATGTAACAATAATAATAGGTTTAAAACATTAAACCTAAAAAATAAGTCCCGTGTACTTAAATTGTAACAATAATGCAATGTAATAATTTTAAGTTTTAATTAAAAATATTAATAATTTTAAATATACATGTAGCATATTATCCAATAACTATATAGTATAAATAAGATATTATTATGTAAAAGTGTAAAACATATACTTTATACATACCCGATGGATAGTTATGAATTTATGATGTTACATGTAATATAAATGTTTTATTATTTTATTAGTTTGGGATTAGTTATAGAACGACAGTTTATATTAATTAACTAGGTATATTATATTTCAAACGTATAAAGTTTATTGGAATATAATACGTAACCAAAAATTATTTCAACCTATGTTCGTTCACAAATGGCAAAACACTTGTTTAAACAATGGCACTTGTACATAAGTATTATTATTATAACTACGTTAACCATGTTTACTTGTCGTGGACAATAAAAAATACTAATATACGACTTTTATTCCTATGTGTTAAAAAATTTATTAAATTACTTTGGTGTGTATTCATTTTCGTAGTATACGCTCGTTTATTTTAGGTTTTAATATGAATTATGTAAGTAATACTAGGCCGAAATTCTTTACTCAATTACACATGATTGATATAATATGCATTTTATTAAAAATGTAACTAAATTTGGCAATAATTTAAAAAAATAAAGTTGGTAGTTTTAAATTATCAAAAATAAAATTATGAGACGAAGAATCATTATTTTTGAGAAAGCAAAAATACAATAAAAGGCTCCTATTTTTGTGAAATCTGGTAATTTTAATACTATCTTATGCCGTTTAATTGAACGCCAAAAACAGGTCTTACAAGTGGCGATAAATTGTACCAACGAGTGCGTGACACTCACTATTTTAACATATACCTAGTTGGTATATATTCTACGAAAACTACATTGTCAACGAATTTCCTCTAATAAATCGTATTTGACCATATTATTTTTTTAAACATGAAAAATGTCTAATATTTTAGTTAAAAGAGTATTGATAATATTAGAAAGTATATAGGTCGCAGGTATTTATCGTAAAGTTGTTAATGTGAGATATTAATTATTAATTGGGTTTATTGTATTGTAAATCTCATTTATAGCGAAATAGAGAAATAGAGAATAGATATTTATATAATTACAATATTAACACGATGGACGACATTTTCCTTATGAATAAGGAAGTTGTTACCTGTCAATTTAAATTGAATACACATAATAAATTAATAACGGTAATTGAGGGAGATTTAAAAATGCATTGTTTTAGAATTGCAGATGTGTTTGCATTTTAAACAAAAATTTGTGACCTACTCTTCTAATAAAACGATCATCAGCAGTAATCAAAATAAAACAATGAAATAAATAATAATATGGTAAAATTTGAAAACATAAAAATGTCTTTCTCTCAAAATGCAATCATATCTTGTATTTACACATTTATTTTACACATGCCACTTTTGATTATGTATATATCAGGACAGTAGAAGTATATATAGATAATATAGACGATATATTTTACATTAGTTTTTACTCTTTGATTTTTTAAAACTATATTGAAAATCATTAACCAAGTTTAATATTTATTTCATTGTAAATTATAATATACTAATGATTGACGATATTTGAAAATTAATGAGATTACTCAATTTAGTTAGTCAAACGTATACGAACATTTAAATAGTGTTTGTACTTTGTAGACCTTTTATATTATATTATAAAAGTCAGTGAGTGACGTACTGACATCGATATTCGTCGAATGCCGCATAAGGCTTAACATCCAAACATTTATAATATGTTTGCAAAATATAACTTCCGTTTGATGTCATTCTGTCACCTCTCGACCTAATATATGTTTTTAATTTGACGATAGTTTACAAAAAAAAAAAAAAATGATATTCGCTGTCTGTTCGTTCTTGTCAATGTTTCTGTTTTTATATAAAGACTTTAAATTTGTTATATATATAAGCTGCAGGAGTGCGATCATTTAAATATTTAATAACTTACATTTTTATATTTTACAAAAATCACTAATGATTATTGAAACTAACCTAAACAATTTGCTAAAAACTTAATATGACACATCATAAGATACATAAGATACATACGTAATTATAATATTAAGTTAATTTTAAATATTCCGGAAATATATTTTTTTTTTTTTTGGGTTAATGATATTAAGAAAAACAATGCAGAACAGTTCGAATGTTCGGGAACTATGCCAGAAAGTGAAGTGTGCACAAATTTCGTTTTGGCAAAATATTGGTCATAGCAATTAACTTTACTAGATCACATTATATAATATGATTTGGCGATTGAATAGCCTCGAAACTTCCACCGCATCAGATAATGTGTTTAGCTCATCATCATATTATTAATTGATTATTATTTCGTTTTTATAATTTACGAAACTTCAAAAAAATATCATAAGCAGATGCTGCTATCATGTACGAAAAATGCTTTAACACCGCGGTCTAGATAGTAGATTCTCGACATCTGCGCTGTCAAGTAAATGTTTTACATAAATAAATCCAACAATAAAATGGATTTGGACATGGCTTAATAGCGACCAAGTAAATAGTTATAAATAACTTATGGAATAATAAGTTAAACAAAAACTAAAAATGGGTTTACTTTTTGAAGACACAGCTTATACAAATGAGTTTTATTCGTTTTTAATGGGTTCACCCATATGATATTATCTATGTGTTTACAAATAGGACGAAGCAAACCATAATAAAATGTAATAAATAAGTACCTATAGCACATTTAGTCTTGATGTCTTTATACAATTGTTATTTAAGTCCAAAA